CTATGAGCGTGCAATTGTCACTATGTAACATCTATATATGTATATATGCTATATGCACAGGGTGTTCCTTTTTAATTTTACATTAAAGTGCTATCGCAATTGTGACAAAGGGATTTGAAATTAAAATAAGTATAATAGGGTAGCAGGAGTGTATGATATTAAAGCAGACAATGGGACGTGGAGAACGTTACGAGAATCAATGGAAAAAGCTTAAGATGTTATTTAAGATAGAATATATGTATATTGTATACACAGACACTTGGTGCATTGGTTAGAGACAGGAGCAGTCGGTATATCTTCGAGAAAATCGAAATTTTTTTTTTATTCCTTCGTCGCGATTCACTCTTTCGTTTTGAAAAAAAAAAATTGAAGGCAAATTTTATTTTCATGATCGTTATTAGGAAATTAAAAAGTTGATAAATTTTTTTGTCGAATTGCATAATTTTTTTAAATCTCTTGTACCCCATAACGCAATAAAAATACTAACAGATTGGAGAGTTGATTTTGAAGAATTTTTTGCAAAATTTGCATGTTGTTCGGTATTCTGTATCGTTATGTCTGCCACATTGAAATGCATCCACATTATAAGTGTTGATATATATATATATATATTTTCCTTAACGTTTCCTGAATCCTTTGTCGAATAATTTTTTTTTTCCAACGGCATATATGTCGTGTGTGTATATAAGTATGTATTCATTTTTCCTTTTACCTCGTGACTCGATTCTCACAAAGGATCTGAAGCGACTATACCGGGGAGTGGGGTAGGGTGGGTTGTGCGCTAATAACGTAAGACAGCGAGGAGACGCGTCGAACGATGCTAATGATAAGGAGTATGTCAATATAATGATAATGATACTGATATTGAGGTCGTTTAATGATGAATTTAACTCGCGCGACATATAATCATTAATTTTGTATCACACTATAGAAAACATTTTTATTTCTTCGAGGCTGCCTAGCAATGGATTCTTCACTATCAGGATTTTTTTTTCAATTCCCTCCTAATCTTTTATTTATGCGATTTCACCGAGATTTCCCGAGTCCGCGTGTTACGATATTTAAAAAAAAATTTATCCTAAACGCCAAGGTTCATTTTTATGGAGGTTTATACTTTCTTTAAGAGGAACGGACGAGATCTTTGAAGACAATCTTAGCGTTTTGTGTGTGCACTGTCGTTTTTTTTTTTAACTTTTTAATTTGCTCTTTCGCCAATTCGTGTCGGATCTTTTTTCGGTTGTTTTCTATTTTTTCGTTTTATCTTTGATAATAGATCACAGGTTCGTTCCGATAAGACTAATTCATTGATTTATTTTGACAATCCTGGTATTTCAGTTAGAATACGGATTTTCAGGATCGACACGATCATGAACCGTATCAGAGTAGTCTGTATGAAGTTGTTCGACTATGCAGTTTATTTGGGTTTTACAAAAAAAAACGACCTTATTGCGCATCCCCGCAGAGAGCTCACAAAGATTTGTCAGTACCTTTCGCGACGCCATTTAAACGTTTACGATCGACAGAATTTTTTCTTCATATTTTGGTTCTCCAAGAATCCTTTAAAATTGTATGGTCCTCTTTCGAAATTGACGAGTCACTCCAGTTCGTGACTGCTGATCTCGTGTTGATTTAAAAAGAAAAAAAAATGAAAATTTTATAATTATTTGAGCTTCACTAACACCTAAAAACGATACTGATTTTGAACGGATGCGACAAGCACTGACAAAACGAAAGAGACTCTCGCTGATTAATCTGCAAAATCTCGGCCAGTTTTCCTTGAGGATGAGGAACTTCCATAAAATACAGACCCCAGATTCATACACGTAATATACACGCAAACATTCTTACAATATAATTATTCACGAAATCACTCGCCCAATATCTAATCTCTAAGCTATATACGTTTAAATAACGCGTTTCGTACAAACAGACGTCATCACGCTCAGCGTCCATCTTTGGTATTTTTTTTATCCTTTTTTTTCTTCGACTTTACAGTGGTAATAATTGTTCAAGATGGTGCCCGATCTAAGGGGGATGTTTAATTTTATCTTTATATGTATATACTACATGCAGTTAATATTAAATTCATTTTAGAATTTGGTACTCTTGAAACGACTCATCACATCTTTCGCCTTGTTCGTATCCTTCTCGTATATATGTATATATATTATTATTTTTATTCGGTAATAATAGTAATAGTATCGTGTAACTGTACTTTATTCACATAACTTATTACGTTACAGTTTTATTATTAAAAAGGTGCGTGGTTGGCGAAGGGGGTGGGGGTGGGGGTGGGTTTGAATTCCAAAGCGGTGAAAGGAAATTGTATTAGAGAAGGAAAAAAAAACAATTTTAATACAAATTAAATCATCGTTCGAGTATATTTAGCTTTTGATTTGACCAGTCAACGATATTTGACCGAATATCTCATTAGCCAATAAAATCCTCGATTAAATTTTCTACTTGTTCAATTAATTCGACATAACCCAACGTATCGGATTTTCTCAAGTTCATGCGTAATATTTTCTAATCATCGACTCAGATAGTCAGATAATTTTTTGGAGAATGAAACGAAAAATTATGTATTAGAAAGGAAAACGTCGGAAAGGCAAAATAAATTTATATACACACGATTACCAGTTTATAACATTGATTTTCCTTTCAACATTTTGACACGCGGCCCCCCTCGATACCGTGTGATAATAAATTTCCTTAAATCGGCATTATTTTTTCTTTTTTTTTTTCCAATTTAAATCGTATTAGATTGTTGCACGTGTGTCGAGTGTATAATAATCAGTGTATCATGTGGTATTTAATCATATACTTACAGGACTTACAGTTACGTTATATTGCGATCTGTAGTGAATAATGCTGCGTGTGTTGGTTTTTATTAGGTACATACTTAATTTCATTCATGAGTATAGATAAGTAATTAACGTCACTTCTCATCCCTCTCACGCTTCCGGTTATATTTTAATCTCAATTTTTAAATTGTTAGTTTAAACTTTTATTAATGTACTCATTCAATACCACTACTCTGTATGTTAGTTTATATTGTTTAAAATCTCTCTCACTTTCTCTCCTTCGTTCTCTCCAGCTCTCACTCACTCACTCACTCACTCTCTCTCTCTCTCTCTCTCTCTCTCTCTCTCTCTCTCTCTCTCTCTCTCTCTCTCTCGCTCTCTTTCTCTCTCTCTCTCTCTCTCTCTCTCTCTTCCCGAAAATTAAATTGTGCTCCTTTTTCCGCGACGGCAACGATGCTCGAACTTGAGAAATACCTTTCTTTTTAAAGGGATGTCGAGTTTATTGCAAAAAACGTGTAAAATCCTCCCGCAAATTGTAAAAGTACACCGTTCTCGAGCATCGTTGCTGCATATTGCAACAAGGGCAAGGCGAGAACGAATGCGCGAATTGTACGAAGAAAAAAGAAAAAAAAACGAGTCTGCGAATACAAATTCATAATAAGCATAAAAAAAATGTTATAAACGATAACAGCGACGACACGAAGACAAAATAAATTCAATGCTATCGCAATTTCGTCGTGACATATGAAAATCGATCTTTACTCCTGTTACATAACCAAAACGAGCAGTGTGCCACCACTCGTTCACATATTCCTTATTAAAATTTCGCGTATCCCTTATCCGAAAGTAGATAAATAAGAGTAATTGAAAAAGCCACTTTCAATATAAGTTATTACGTGCGATTCGAAATCGACAGTGGGTATGTATGATACATGGAATAAGATAAAAAATGAGTGAAAATGATAAGAGGATTTTTGTGCAAAGCCAATACGACGTCCTTTACGATAATCAGTTTATGTCGTCATAGACTGTTGTTAGTTTCAGCCAGGACTAGTGTGGCAGTGAATCGTCGTCCTTTCTCAGTGAATCTCGGGCTCTAGCATGATTTCTTTCGATTGACGAAATTACGATTGTTCATTTTTGTCTAATCGGTACCCGATCGATCCTTGGAAACGTGAATCCTCGAAGAAGGCGCGACAATGCGCGGAGGCTTTGACAGTGTTAAAAAATTGAATATGACGTTCGGTGAAATTTCCGATTGTGCCTTGACTGGTCGATCGAGACCTCGTATTGTCAATGCAAATCCTTTCGTGATCGACGTTCTATATAAAATGCGAACGGTAAATGTGTTTATCCTAAGAAAAATTTTGGGTTCCTTCGTCCTCTGTCGTTCTGATTGACTATTACGTGTAATAATATGAAGTTGGCAGTTTCTGTTAACGTGATTTGAACTGTTATCGTACGCTTAGTTCTGGATCGTGGCGATGATAGCAATTTTTAAATCGAAGTCGTATCGTTCAACGACGATCTCTCTCTCCCTCTCTCTCTTCCTTTTTTTTTTCTTCGAAGGAACCTCCGGTTTTTTTACAGTATATCGGATAAACAAGTCTCACGACTCGCCGTGACCAATCCGCAACGACCCAAAATTGATTTTAGCAGTTTCATAAACACATTCACAAACAAACGAACAAACTTACAGACCATCCTGGTTCGACGGCCGCTCGCGGCCCACTAACGTGTATATATATATATATATTATTTATATATATATATTTTTTTCTCTCGTTACTAATTTACTTTCTATTACCTATATATTACAATAATTTATCTAAACCTAAACATGTGCGAACAATCACGTGTCGTGTGCACTACCGTCTCTGCGTATAATTAGTTTATAGTACTTTAAGGAATACAATACTCTGTATAAAACTTGTATGTACAAGGGGGGGGGGGGGGAATGGGGTT